TGCACAGCTGTATAAATGTCCTAAAACTCATTTACAATAGCTGAATTTTATGCCATGAAAATTATACTTCAGGCTGGGCACAGTGGCTCATGCCTCTAATCCCAGCACTTTGGGAGGCCGAGGCGGGTGGATCACCTGAGGTTGGGGGTTCGAGAGCAGCCTCGCCACCATGATGAAACCTTGTCTCTACTAAAAATACAAAAATAGCCTGGTGGGCACCTATAATCCCAGCTACTCAGGAGGCTGAGGTAGGAGGATAGCTTCCACCTGGGAGGCAGAGGTTGCAGTGAGCCTAGATCGTGCCACTGCACTCCAGCCTTGATGACAGAGCAAGATTCCATCTCAAAAAAAAAAAATTTCTTATTTGGCACATACACATTTACAATTGTCATTGCTTCCTAATGTATTGACTCTTTTTTTAACATCATGAAATCATAAGTAGTAGTAATCCTTATTTCTGCTAGTCTATTTGTTTGTTTTATCATTAGTCATAAACCATTCATCCTTCCTCTCCTTCCTTCACATCTTCGCGGACGGACTTCCTTCATATAGCATTGCGTATTGCGGTTAGGGCGCTCATACAACCTTATTTTCCCATAAAACTTCATCCACATAAAAATGAAAATGTTGACAAATTTCATACATTGGCCCCGGGCGCGCGCGGCTGCGCGTGGCTCAAGCCTGTAACTTCCCCCAGCACTTTGGGAGGACCGAGACGGGCGGATCACGAGGTCAGGAGATCTGAGACATCCCCTGCTAACAACCGGTGAACCCCCGTCCTCTACTAAAAAAATACAAAAAACACTACGCGCGCGGGTGGCGAGAGCGCACTGTAGTCAGCTTACTCGGTGAGGGGCTGAAGGCAGGCAGAATGAACCCGGGAGCCGAAAGCTTCGCACGTAGAGCTCGAGATTCCTCGCCACTGGCATTCCAGCCCTGGTGACAAAGAGCGAGACTTCCCGCGTCCCAAAAAAAAAAATAAAAAAAAAGAAATTTCCATAATTGATTTTAAATTTTTTTTTTTTTTTTTTGAGATGGAGGAGTCTCGCTCTGTCAACCCCAGGCTGGGAGTGCAGTGGCGTGAATCTTCAGTTCAAGCGTCTCAACCTCACTGGGTTTTATGCTATTTCTCCATCGTAAGCGCTGACTACAGGGCGCCCCCCTCACAAGCCAAGCTAATTTTTGTATTTTTTAGTTGAGGAGGTGGGGTTTCACACGTGTTAGCCAGGGGATGAGTCCTCGATCTCCTGACCTCGTCGATGCGCCCCGCCTCGGGCCTCCCACAAGTGCTGGGATTACAGGTGTGCAAGCCAATGCAGCCTGGGCCGATCTTTAAATTCTTTTTTCAGAAGTCTGAGTCCTGGTGAATCATACTTTGTTCCCATTTGTAGATATCTCCACCTTAGGTGGTAAACGTCATCTGGTTCGTTCGTGTGTTTTGTTTTTTTTTTTTTTTGGAGATAGAGTCTTGGCTCAGTTTTGCCCGCAGGCTGGAAGTGGCCGTGCCGCGATCTCAGCTCAGCTGCAAGCTCCCGCCGTCCCGGTTCTCGCCATTCCATCCTGCCACTCCAGCCCCTCCCGAGTAGCTGGGACTAACAGGCGCCCACCCACTACCGGGCTAGTTTTTGTGTATTTTAGTAGAGACGGGTTTCACCGTGTTAGCCAGATGGTCTCGATCTCCTGACCTCGTGATCCGCCTGTCTCGGCCCTCCCAAAGTGCTGGGATTACAGGCGTGAGCCACCGCGCCCGGCCGTCATCCTGGTTCTTTTTGGAGCAAAGGGCTGCCTGCGTTCCTCTTACGTTCAATTCTGTGATATTTTTGTTTCCAACAGCAACAATAAACAAAAACAAACTGAACGTCACCTAAGCACAAAATTCAAAACAACCTCCAAGGCAAGAAAAGTAGTTACTTCCAGGTTTTTAGATTTTTTTTTTTTCATGATTTTAATAGAGGGGACAGAGTTGATTTGATTTTTAATTAATCACTGTTATTTGAACAATTGCTAGATCCTGGTATCTAGCAATATCCAGGAAAATGTGCCTTTCTAAATGTTTGTCTTAGTTCATTATTTCTCAGTGAATGCCTGTGGAGATATGAAAGAATCCTGTCTCCAGTAAGCAAAATATGTTTTGGGGTGTGATAACTGATTTTCCTATTACAGATGAGAAGAGTGGATATTTGTCTAAATAGTATGGCTGTTTGGCTGCCCAGTTCTAAAACCTAAGTTTTTCGGATTGGGTGTTCAAAAATTGGAACTATTGCTAGCTTGTTAGCTCTTTCCACCTGAAGCAGGATTTCTCTGTCTCAACACTGTTGGCATTTTGGCCTGGAATTATTTTTTTTTTTCTGTTCTGTGTGTTGTAGAATATTTAATGATTTGTATTCATTGGTAAATAGCTGCTGTCTTGACACTCCTGAGTGTCACCTGGCCCCCTTGTTCAGCACTCCCTAGTTCTGGCCACCTTGAGGATCCGGCTCCAGCATGGTCAGCTGTGTCTTTTCTGATTGGTTGTGGATCTGGGGTGCGAGTTGTTAACACTTTGAATACCAACTTGGATGTGAGGGAGGAAATACAGGATAGTAATGAAAATGAGGGCTAGAACTTTTAGTCTGAAATATTCTTAGACTCTTCAGGCTATTCTGTTTTCAGGCTTTTCTTAAATATCAGGTTTCTATTTGTTGGCTAACATGAGAGTGACTTAAAATATTCAGACTTATTTATTTATTTATTTATTTGAGATCGAGTCTCACTCTGTTGGGCAGGCTGGAATGCAATGGCACAATCTTGGCTTACTGCAACCTCCACCTCCTGGGTTCAAGCCATTCTCCTGCCTCAGCCTCCCAAGTGACTGAGATTACAGGCACATGCCACTGTGCCCAGCTAATTTTTGTATTTTTAGTAGAGACGGGGTTTCACCATGTTGGCCAGGCTGGTCTGGAACTCCTGACCTCAGGTGATCCACCCACCTTGGACTCCCAAAGTGCTGGGATTACAGGTGTGAGCGACCACGCCCAGCCTCAGCCATATTGATTTAAAACTACACCTATACTGCTGGGTAAAACTACTCTTCAAATAACCAAACAAAATGTTGAGCTTTCCACTATATGTTAAAGTTGATAGAACAGAATTTGCCAATTGAAAAAGTAGTCCCACAATTAGTTCCTTTTGGAGCCTGAGATGACAGTTTCTGGTGAATTGAATTATTCAATTAGGTGTGACCCCGTAGGCCTACTGTGGTGAAGTGGCATTCTCAAAAGAGGTCTGTCTAGAGGGCAGTGACAGCCAGCCTCAGGCCTTGGACCTGATTGCACTGTATTGACATGATTTGTATTGGCAGAGCGGTCTTCATAAAGAAGAGCCGGCAATAAGACACACCTGCCCAGAGAGTGCTTGTCACCAGGTGAATGAAATGGAAAAGAGGGCCGGGTGTGGTGGCTCACACTTGTAATCCCAGCACTCTGGGAGGCCAAGGTGGGTAGATCACCTGAGGCCGGGAGTTTGAGACCAGCCTGGCCAACATGGTGAACTCCATTTCTACTAAAAATACAAAAATTAGCCGGGCATGGTGGCAGGCACCTGTAATCCCAGCTACTCAGGAGGCTGAGGCAGGAGAATTGCTTGAACTCGGGAGGCGGAGGTCGCGGTGAGCCAAGATCGCGCCACTGCACTCCAGCCTGGGCAACAAGAGGGAAACTCCGTTTCAAAAAAAAAAAAAAAAAGCAATTGAAAAGAGTACAGCATCATTAAAGATAAGAAAGAGGCCGGGCACAGCGGCTCTCGCTTGTAATCACAGTACTTTGGGTGGCTGAGGCGGGCAGATCATTTGAGCCTGGGAGTTTGAGAGGGCGTAGTGGGATGCACCTGTGGTCCCAGCTACTCAGGAAGCTAAAGTGGGAGGATCACCTGAGCCTCCAGTGAGACATGATTGCACCATTGCACTCCAGCCTGGATGACAGTGAGGCTTTGTCTCAAAAAAAAGAGGGATTGATCTTTTCTTGGAACTTTGAAATGCTCATTTTCAGATAGTGTATCTATAAACTGAAGACTAAATCTTAATTATTAATCTTACTAATAAATTTAATCATAAGTTTTAATGTCTGTTTTTATGTTTGTTAATCTGTAAAATAAACTACCAAGTATTCTTTCAGGATCTTAGATGGGAAAAATTTTAACATATGTTCTAACTATAAGAACCTTGATTTTTTAATGCAGCAGTGAGGTATAGCTTAACTTCAGCTTCTAATGGGAGATATAAAAGCTGATTAATTTGCTTGAAATATTTGTGAGTTTTAAAATTGTGATCCTGGATAATAAGTAACTCTAATTTTGAAGTTGACCTAAACTGTGAATGAGCTATCCATTTTTACCTACACGATAGTATTGAGCAAGTCAACAACCTACGAGAGATCCAAGCACTGAGGCGCCTGAATCCGCACCCAAACATTCTTACGTTGCATGAAGTGGTTTTGTAAGTATATTTGGAGCTTGAAAAGTTATCTAAATTTGATGAAAATAATCTTTTTTTAAGGAAGAAAACCATGGTAGACATTTTGAATATTTGCTTTGTAGCTCAGAGAGTAACCATTTTTACTTCATCTTATATCACATTTTTATTTGGAAAAATGTGCATCTGATTCTTTTTTTAAAATTTTTTTGAGAAGGAGTCTCTCTCTGTCACCCAGGCTGGAGTGCAGTGGCGCAATCTCGGCTCACAACAAACTCCACCTCCCAGGTTCAAGCCATCTCCTACCTCAGCCTCCTGAGTAGCTGGGGTCACAGGCGCCCGCCACCACGCCCGGCTAATTTTTGTATTTTTAGTAGAGACGGGGTTTCATCATGTTGGCCAGGTTGGTCTCAAACTCCTGACCTCAGGTGATCCACCCATCTTGGCCTCCCAAAATGCTGGGATTACAGACATGAGCCACTGCGCCCGGCCATCATCTGATTCTTAATGTGGAAATGCCTTCATTTAGGTGACTCCACATCATAAAAGCATCCGTCATGCAAACAGTTCATCTCCTGGAGCTCAGTTAGGCTGCTGAGGTCTTGAGTGTGAATTTTGACCTATTGGGAAAGCACTGTTGTGTTATTTCAGGGATTGTACATTCTCACTCTGTCCCTGCCAGTTGCCATTTTTGAACAGTCTCCTGTAGCCTTTCTTACTGTAATTGATAACATTTCTGGGGATTTTTCATTTCTGTTCTAATTATAGAGTAGTTTCCATAAGGCTTATCTATCAATCAAGAAGGCAGAGCACAGCTTGTCCCTCAGTGCCTGCCTGAGCCTGGAAGGCCTTCTTCCTGACAACTCTGTGCTGTGCTTACAGACCTCACTGAGCCAGGGAGTCAGACTACAGGATTTGGGGACCTTCTTTGCTGTGGGCTAGAATGGCACCGCCACTCTGAGAGGGTGCCCCTCGGTGTAGAAGCTTCGCTGTGGCTCCGGAGGGAGACTGGCCTGTAAGATCGACCAAGGAACTCCAGTCAAACTCCACTGCCAGTTAAAGTCTAGTAGATTTTAATCAGAGAATGGAACAGTTTTAAACTCAAAATGAAATGTCTTGTTATAACTGTGTGACTTCCTGGCCTGTAGCGTTCTTAGAAGTCAATTTGGGCCAGGTCCAGAGACTGCAGTTAGTATGTCATAGTGTCAACACTGAATGCACGTCATGCACTTCCCACACACTTTCCACAGCACTCTGTCCAGAATCTCACGTGGGCCTCCTAACAACCAAGACCCCTTTCTGCCAGATTGGAGGCACCCAGAGTAGGGTCTGGGGTGATACAGGCTCCCGCTAAGGACTCTGGGAACCCTTTAAAGGCCTGCTTGAACTCAGGAGAAGTTGGTGGCTCAGCCAGCAGTCTCTGTCCCCATTCTGTGTCAGCATTGATATCACACACTTGTGATGTGACTCGTTTTTCTCTTTTTCCCCTGACTGGTTTTTGGTTGTTACTCTCCCATTGTGATTTATCCCAATTACATGGAAGGAATTTAGCTAAATTAAAATTTAATTTGCAGTCACGGAGCACGAATTAATTTCTTTTCTTTTCTTTTCTTTTTTTTTTTTACAGGGTCTCACTCTTTTGCCCAGGCTGGAGTACAGTGGTGCGATCTTGGCTCACTGCAACCTCCACCTCCTGGCTTTAAGCTATTCTCCTCCCTCAGCCTCCCGAGCAGCTGGGACTACAGGCGCCCGCCACTACACCCAGCTTTTGTATTTTTAGTAGGGATGGGGTTTCACCATGTTGGCCAGGCTGGCCTCAAACTCCTGACCTGAAGTGATCCACCACCTCGGCCTCCCAAAGTGCTGGGATTACAGGAGTGAGCCACCGCGCCTGGTCTCTTTCATTGTTTTGCTTACCCAACTCCCCAGCCTTTTTCTTCTTTCTACTGATAGTTAATTATGTATTTTCAAGACATATATATTTTCGACTTTTAGAATTTTGTTCAAAGTTGGGTTTTGCTAGTATTTTTAATTAATTTTACCTGAAATACTGATTTGAAATCAGAACCTTTACTGTTTCAGCAATTACACTGTAGTAGTTGATGTGGGAGTGCCTTATGTTTACTAGAAATGTTTACAAATGGATTAAATATTGGATTGTATTTTCTGATTAAGGCCAGAAAATTTATTTTAAAAACTTACTTTCTTCTTCAGTGACAGAAAATCTGGTTCTCTTGCACTAATATGTGAACTTATGGACATGAATATTTATGAGCTAATACGAGGTACGTGGAATAATTTGAAAGCTAACCTAAGATCCTCTTTTAAGGCTTCTAATTCATACATATGCTTAGTTGTTCTCAACATCATTAGTCATCATAGTGCCATAGTTATATATAATACACAGTACAGTGCCACTTCACTCATGGGAAGGCATTTTCCTGACTGCTCGTCTACTCAGAACATGACTGCAAACAAGAAAGGAAGTCCCAGGCCCTCTGGGTGCCCATGTGATCTGGGGGAGGGTGGCGGGAGGCAGCAGGGGCAGCTCTGCTGCAGAGCGCCGCAGCCAGCCCCGCCATGGGCATGTGTGCCACAGGCCCGCTGGCTCAGGGGGCCTCTCAGCTCCCCAGATCTGCTGTTGCTCGACATTCTGTTCCATGCCTCTTCAGGCAAAGCTTTCCCTCCAGAGTAGTCGCCTGCATGTGAGGGAAGCTCCTGCCATTTTCCACGATGCTCATTCATTTCCTTTCTTCTGAACAATAAAGCACTGTTGAAGACAGCATGTTTGCCTGAGGTGACCTCAGTCAGGGCTGGTTTCAGATACTTACAGAGGTCCCCTGAGGGCAACAGGAGAAAAGGAGAGCCTGCTGGCCCTCATTGAGCAAATTGTTCCTGGGGGTCTGACCTCATGGTTGTGTTTGATGTCAGGACAGATGAACCTTGTATATCTCACTAAGAAAGCAATACAGCAAGTGTTGGATTTTTCAAATCATGTTATACCTAGAGGACAAATAAAAAACAACTGTCCTATTGTCACATGAGTGACTACTTATGACTTGGAAAAGAATTTTAGTGACAGCGTCATAGATGATTTAGATGGTATATTAGCTCACAATTTGGGCCACACTGAAGATGATGTGCTATGGAAACTTTTTAGATCGATAAACTATTTTTGTGATGAAGAAGACACTGATGTTGAAGATATATATGAAGAGTTCAAATAAAATTGTTTTTATGAAATTGGGTAGTGGAAAAAAGCACTATATCAATATTCATGTATTTTATATGTGACTTAAAATATGTGTGTGATAGTAAATTACTAGCAAAATAAATAGCATAAGTAGCCAAGTTTTTCTACATCCATAAAAGTTGATGTATATAAAACTGGGCACAGTGGCTCATGCCTATAATCCTAGCTCTTTAGGAGGGAGGCCAGTGCGGGTGGATCACTTGAGGTCAGGAGTTCAAGACCAGCCTGACTAACAAGGTGAAACCCTGTCTCTGCTAAAAAATACACAAAAAAAATTAGCCAGGAGTAGTGGTGTGTATCTGCCTGTAGTCCCAGCTACTCAGGAGGCTGAGGCAGGAGAATCTCTTGAACCTAGGAGGTGGAGGTTGCAGTGACCCGAGATCGTTCCACTGCACTCCAGCCTGGGTGACAGAGTGAGACTCTGTCTCAAAAAATAAAAATAAAGGCCAGTGTGGTGACTTATGCCTGTAATCCTAGCACTTTGGGAGGCCAAGGCAGGTGGATCACTTGAGGTCAGGAGTTCGAGACCAGCCTGGCCAATACAGTGAAACCTTGTCTCTGCTAAAAATACAACAAAAATTAGCCGGGCGTGGTGGCATGTTCCTGTAGTCCCAGCTACTTGGGACTGAGGTAGGAGAATAGCTTGAACCTGGGAAACAGAGGTTGCAGTGAGCCGAGATCACACCACTGCACTCCAGCCTGGACATCACAGCGAGACTCCATCTCAAGAAAAAATAAAAACAAAACTCAACAAGAAGGGAGAATTTTTGGCAAGTCACTGTGTGTTTAGACGCTTGAGAAAGCATTGTTTAGAATATATATATACACACACACACATATATATATATATATTTTTTTGAAGGCATCTGTGCTCTCCCAGGCGCGATCCAACTCACCCTGCAACCCCGCCTCCCAGTCAAGTTGATTCCCTCCACTCCCAAGGAGCGGACTCAGGCATGTGCTACATCCTCCCGGCAAGATTTTTCTTTTTTTTTTAAAGGTGAGTCTGCTCGCGTTCCAGCGCCGCGAGTGTAGTGGCGCCTTCGCGCTCACGCAACAACTCTAACCCCCAGGTTCAAGCAATTCTCCTGCCTCAGCCTCTCCAAGACTGGGACTACAGGCCCTGCACACCAACCATGCCCACAAATTTTTTGATTTAGGAAGAGACGGGGGGTGTCACCATTGCTGGCCAGATGATCTTGAGGCTCTTAACCTCATGATCCGCCCGTCTTGCCTCCCAAAGCTGGGATTAACAGGTGTGAGCCAACCGCACCAGCCAAACTTTTTTGTAATTGTTTAGTCAGAAACAGGGTTTCACCGTGTAGCCAGGATGTCCTCAATCGCCTGACCTCATGTCTCTGCCCTCGGCCTCCCAAACATGCTGGGATTTACAGGCCGTGAGCCCACGCGCCCAGCCTTAGAACACTATATATTTTATAGAATATTTAATTTTCAGTAGTAGAGGAATTGCATAACTGAAGAAATTGAATCTATTTCTTTCAGTATCTATCTACAGCGATTGTAGAAAACAGACCTCTGTAGATCAGTAGACTTCCATTCGTTATGTAAATATTGAGTGTCTTCCATAGGCCAGGCAGCGTGTTCAGCGCACCGACTCTAAGATGCTGTGAGCAATATGGAGCATCCTAGGTTCAGAGATGTTAAAATGTAAGGAGAATGGCTAATAGTGCTTGTAGGGTAGTAAATATTGAAATATACATCCTGATTTTAGAGTTAGTAAAATTTGAAAAAAAAAAAAGCCTATCCTAGAGTTGATGACATATAGTGATAATAGCTAACAGTTCATGAATGGTATCCATATGGCCAGGCACTATTCTTAATACTTTATAGGAATTAACTCATTTTAACCTTCCAACAACCCTGTCAGGCAGATACTGTCATTTTTTATTTTTTTAAGATGGAGTCTCACTCTGTCGCCAGGCTGGAGTGCAGTGGCATGATTTTGGCTCACTGCAACCTCCGCCTCCTGGGTTCAAGCAGTTCTCCTGCCTCAGCCTCCCAAGTAGCTGGTACTACAGGAGCACGCCATCACACCCAGCTAATTTTTTTTTTTTTTGAGATGGAGTTTTGCTCTTTTTGCCCAGGCTGGGGTGCAATGGCACGATCTTGGCTCACCACAACCTCCGCCTCCCGGGTTCAAGCGATCCTGCCTCAGCCTCCTGAGTAGCTGGGAATACAGGCATGCGCCACCACTCCGGCTACTTTTGTATTTTTAGTAGAGACGGGGTTGTTGGTCAGGCTGGTCTTGAACTCCTGACCTCAGGTGATCTGCCCACCTGGGCCTCTCAAAGTGCTGGGATTACAGGCGTAAGCCACCGTGCCCAGCTAATGTTTGTATTTTTAGTAGAGACGGGTTTCACCATGTTGGCCAGGATGGTCTCGATCTCTTGACCTTGTTATCCACCCACCTTGGCCTCTCAAAGTGCTGGGATTACAAGCGTGAGCCATCCCACGTGGCCCAGATACTGTTATTATCCTTATTTGAAACATGAGGACATTGAGGCATGGGGAGATAAGTTAGTTGTCCCAGGTTACATACCTAGTAAGTGGTAGAACTGGGGCTGAACCTAGATAACCTGATCCTAGAGTGCATGTTCTTAACCATCACACATACTGCCTCATGACAACCCTATGTGGTTGGCACTATTATTTTTCCCATTTTACAGATGAGGAAATTGAAGCTTGAAGGATTAAGTAATAATCCAAAATTAAGTTGTTAATAAATGGCAGAACTGGAACTTAAACTCAAGCCTGACTCTGAAATCCTAACCATTAAGCTTTGTTGCTGCCCTGGATCTCTATTTCTGGGCCCAGCTCAGTGCCTTAAAAGAATAGAGGCACCTAATTATTTACGGTTGTTGACGATGATGCTGCTTTAGTGAAAACTCAAACAATCACTAAGGCTTTTGCTACCAGAATGGCAATTCTTATGACTTAAATTGCTGCTCTCAGGTTATTAGAATATTGGGGAGCACTATGAAAGACTAAAGAATGAGATAATAATGAAATAAGGGAACAATCACACAGCCATTATTGAATTGTCTACAGCAATGTGCAAGGTCTGGCAAGAACTGGGAAGATAAAGAAGCAGCATGTCAGATGCATGTTTTTGATATTGAAAGGGTATATAGTCTTTTTTTTTTTTTTTTTCTTGAGACGGAGTCTCACTCTGTCGCCCAGGCTGGAGTGCAATGGCGCGATCTTGGCTCACTGCAAGCTCTGCCTCCCAGGTTCAAGCCATTCTCCTGCCTCAGCCTCCCGAGTAGCTGGGATTACAGGCACCGCCACCACGCCCGAGTAATTTTTTTTTGAGATGGAGTCTCACTTTGTTGCCCAGGCTGGAGTGCAATGGCACAATCTCAGCTCACTGCAACCTCCGCCTCCCGGGTTCAAGCTGTTCTCCTGCCTCAGCCTCCTGAGTAGCTGGAATGTCTGCCACCACGCCCGGCTAACTTTTTGTATTTTTAGTACAGACGGGGTTTCACTCTGTTGGCCAGGCTATCTCGAACTCCTGACCTCATGATCTGCCCGCCTCAGCCTCCCAAAGTGCTGGGATTACAGGCGTGAGCCACTGCGCCCGGTCTGAAAGAGTATATCGTCTAGTGTTCACATAAACTATATGAAAGTGATATCATAAGAGAAAAGGAGTTGCTGGGGTAATTTTCTCTTTGTTGAACAGGTGTCAGATGAGGCAGAGATTGTGTGGGCTGGGAAAATAGGGCTTTCCTGGAGGAGTGGTAGAATTAGATAGGTGCAGGAGAGGATGTCTCATTTGCAATGACATGCCATGGGCTATTCCAGAGGCAGGGACATGGTGGGGAACATAACAGACACAGTTCCCACCCATGTGGAGCTCACACTCGATGACAGACAGGAAACAAACGAAGAAATTACCAAGAATATCAGTCAAAATGATCAAGAATTCCAGATAGGGATAAGTGCTGTCGGTGAATGAAACAGGCCAATGTGTCAGGGCGTGATGAGGACAGAGTACTTCAGGCAGAGGGACAG